CCTCTCCATCTTGCTCGAGCTGGTCTTGAATTGTGCAGTATGGTGAGGACATATATAATGACAGGCCATTGACAAGGAAGGCCAGAGGAACTGCAAGTGGTCATTACCTCGTCTTGTGATTTTGGTTATCCCATAATCTCAGACCTGAAACACAGGAGGGAAATCACAAAGACGAGGTTTGCAAACACTCTTAACAATTTTGTCTCCTCAAGCAGAGACTGAGATGGGCCGGATGCTTCTAATTACAGCAAATCTATTCACTGATCCTTCTTTCTCTTCAACTGCGCAGCATCCCAAAGGAATTGCTGGAGATACTCCCACGGAGCAGGGACTGGAGTTACATGGAAATGCCAGAGAAGCTAGAGGCAACAAAAACAGAAATTGCTGGAAAAGCTCAGCTAGTCAGTTCTGAGGAAGGGTCACTGGACCCGAAACGCTAACTCTGATTTCCCTCCCCAGATGCTGCCAAACCTGCCGAGCTTTTCCTGCAATTTTTGTTTTTGTTTCTGATTTCCAGCATCTGTAGTTCTTTCAGTTTTTAGAGCAGCTGGAGGGGTTCCCTAGTTTCTAGAGGGACAGAGATAGGATGGATTAGAAAGCAGAAACAAAAACCAGAAATTGCTGGAAAAACTCAGCAGGTCTGGCAGCATCTGTGAAGGGAAATCAGCATTAATGTTTCACGTCCAGTGACCCTTCCTCAGAATTAGATGAGAAAGCACTTTTTGTCCATTAGCAGTGGGGTCAATAACCAGGGACATAGATTTAAGGAAAGAGGTAGAAAGCTAAGATTTGATTTAATTTGATTTATTATTGTCACATGTACCTAGGTACAGTGAAAAGTTTTATTTTGTGTGCAGTACAGGCAGATCATGCCATAGAAAGGGCATGACAGTAACAGAACAAAGTGAAGAATACAATATTATGGCTGTCCAGGAAGTGCACAAAGAGTGAGATCAACATTAAATTTGAAATCTGAGAGGTCCATTCAGAAGTCCAGAAGCAGTGGGGAAGAAGCTGTTCTTGAACCTGTTGGTACATGTGTTTAAATTTTTGTTTCTTCTGTCTGACAGAACAGGTTGGAAGAGATTATAACCGGTATGGGAGGGGTCTTTGATGATGTTGGCTGCCTTCCCGAGGCAGTGGGAAGTACAGATGGAGAGTCAGTGGATGGAAGGTTGGCTTGTGTGATGGACTGTGTTGTGTTCACAACTCTCTGTAGTTTCTTACGGTCCTGAGCAGAGCAGTTGCCATACCAAGCCGTGATGCACCCAGATAGAATGCTTTCTATGGGGCATCTATAAAAGTTGGTGAGGGTCCTTACGGACATTTCAAAATTCCACCAGTGAAGAGGTTGGTAAACAAAAGACACAGATTTTATGGTAATTGCCAAACCAACTAATGAAGGGAAATGAAAAAGAAAAGCAAAACTCTACAGATGCTGGAAATCTGAAATAAAAACAAAATGTGCTGGAGACACTCAGCAGCTTAGGCAGCATCTGTGCTGCAGAACACAATTCATTGTTTTGATTCAACGCGAAGCCTTAATCTCAGAACATGAGAGGAATTATTGTGACCTGGAACACGCTGCAGGAGGGGACGGCAGGGGCAGATGGATTGGGGGCTTTCAAAAGGGAATGGTGTTAATATTTGAAAGGGTAAAGTCTGTAGGGATTTTGTTGGTGAGAAAGGAAGTGGGACTAATTGTATAACTCTTGCTGGTACAGGAATAATGGGCTGAATGGTCTATTTTTATACTGCAAGAGCTTATGTTATCGACCGCATCCTACTCAGCCGCCCAATAATATTGTGAAAGCCCATTTAATCTTGGCCATGCTCCAAATTGTTTCATAATTGGAGGATGAGTAAAGCAATTTGACTCATGACACAGGCCTGATTGGAATACTAGAAGCCAGGAGACAGGTATTGCTTGGGGCTATCTAGGCTGTCTATTGATTTTTACCTCTCCACAGATTAACTATCAAACCACTCTCCCTCCAAACCCTGCTAACGATACACTATAAAGAAATCTCACATCTCCAGCTGAACTAGCCAGTTTTTAAACACGTAAGAGTATGGTGGCCTTTACTGCAAGAGGATTCTGAGTAAAGGAAGAAAGATTTTTTGTTGTAATTGTATTCAGATATGAAGCTACATGTAGAGTATGGTGTACTGTTTCAGTCTCTTTATGCAGGGAAGGATCAACTTCAGGGTAAGTGTAATGAAGTTCCACCAGACAGTTTCTTTGGATGGTGGGATTGTCCTATGGGGAGAGATTGAGGAGACTGGGCCTGTTTTCTATGCAGTGATGAATAATGTGAGGTGGATCTCATTCAAGCATGCAAAATTCTTACAGGACTCAACAGGGTGGCTTCAGGAAGGACATTCCTCTGTGGGGTCTAGAAGCAGAGGCACAATCTCAGAATAAAAGAGGTAGGTCTTTTAGAGTGAGATGAGGAGGAATTTCTTCAGATGAGGAGCAGAGGAGAAATGAGGAGCAGAAGTTGACCATGCAGCCCATCAAGCCTGTTCCGCCATTCAATCAGATCATGACTGATATAATTTGTGTTTCGAATTCTACATCTTCATTTGCCACAATAACCTTCAATTCCTTGCCTCACAAGAGCAATTCACCTCTGACATAAAAAATGTTAAGAAACACTAGAAATTGGGGATCCTATCAACATTTTCTGTGCAGCTAAGTGCATTGGATCAGGAGGGGGACATTTAGCTACTTGAGGCTCCATGTACTCAAGAAAAGTCAACAATAAGAAATAGCAGCTGGAATAGACCATTCAGCCCATTGAGCCTGTGCTGCCCTCCAATACAGGAAGTCCCCAGGTTATAGTCATAGAGACATACAGCACAGAAACAGACCCTTCGGTCCAACTCATCCACACTGACCAGATATCCTAAATTAACCCAGTCTTACTTGTTAGCATTTGGCCCATATCCCCCTAAACCCTTCCTATTCATATACCCATCCAGTTGCCTCTTAAATGTTGTAGTTGTACCAGCAATCACCACTTCCTCTGGCAGCTCACTCCATACACGCACCACCCTCTGCATGAAAAAGTTACCCCTTAGGTCCCTTTTAAATCTTTCCCCTCTCACCTTAAACATATGCCCTCTAGTTTTGGACTCCCCAACCCTGGGGAAAAGACCTTGACTATTCACCCTATCCAACCCCCTCATGATTTTATAAACTTCTATAAGGTCACCCCTCAGCCTCCAATGCTCCAGGGGAAATAGCCCTAACTGGTTATGAAGCAGGTTCTGTTTGAGTCCATTTGTAAGTCAATTTGTGTGCAGGTTGGAACGCCATGCAGGATAATATAAAAAGCCAATAAGTACAGGAAATTTTCAGATGTCGGATCTTTAAAATGACACCCCTGTATGTGATCACGTTTGTAAGTATGAGCATTTGTAAGTCAGACGTTCAGAACTTGGGGACCCCCATATGATGATGGCTTCGACTCCACCTTTCCACCTGCTCCCCATTCCATGAGGCCAGAAATCTGTGTTGAACATGTCTCCGATAACTGGGGAGAATAATGTTCAGAACAACAAAAAGACTCCAATTCAAATTTCACAGAATGAGCTGCACCACTTTCAAGCCACTGTTCCTGCCACTTGCATGTGCTGGGGGAAACAGAACAGCATCCGTGACACTGTAGCCCAGAAAGGGGTCAGCTATACTATTCATCTTCATCCTTGTTCCAGAAGCAAAACACTGGAAATCTAAAATAACAACAGAAAATGCTAGAAACATCAGAACAGGGCTGATGAAATGGCATCAACTTGAAAAGTTAGCTCTCCTTCTGTCTGTCCGTCTCTCTCACTTGTTCACAGATTATTGCTAGCTCTGCTAATGTTTCCAGCATGTTGCATCCCTGTATCCAGGGGGTCAGTTAGCTGGATGGCTGCATTACAATACAGAGTGACACCAACAGGGTGAGTTCAATTCCCACACTGGCTGAGGTTACCACGAAGGACTCTCCTTCTCAACTTCTCCCTCACCTGAGGCATGGTGACCCTCAAGTTAAACACCAGCAGTCATCTCACTCTCTCTAATGAGAGCAGCCCCTCTGTCTTCCTCAATGTACAGTTTGAAGTGAAGAGGGATAAGAGTAAATAAGGAACATCAGTTGACACCACCACTGATCGGGGACAGAAGTTTGACAAAACAAGATTGAGTGCATTTAAATGATCCCCAGTGTACTGACTGAAAGGAGACACAGGAATAAGTTGCAATAGGAAATTATAGATACAGTCCTTGAAGGGTAAAATCTTAAACAGCTCTGGTAAATAGGGCTTTCTTCAAGCTGTACGATTTAGTAGCAACTTCTTCCTTTCTTAAACTTTGACGACAAGCGATGCAAACAGGACACATTACAAAACCAAAGGGCAGGTCTATCACATTTACATTGCAAGGATATCATTATACAACAAGGGAGGAGGCAGCATTTCTCTAAATGACACCGAAAAGTACATATCCCTCACACGGATGGCATTAAACAGCCGATGAGTCACCAAGAAATATTGATTTAATGAGCAATTTGACCTCCTGGTTCCAAAACCTGTCAGATTTACAAAACTCTGGGCGGTGTATACACCCTGAATCACGACAATCTACTATATTCTTTGAAATAAACAAAAGTGCGTCCCCCGATCGTTAACACAGCAGACCTCGCCTTAAAAGTTACCATCTCGCAAAACGCACCAACATAGAAAGATGTGCCAACGAGAGGTTCAAGTCTTAACATTTTGGGAAAGCAGAAACAATCTAAAGAAAACTCGCTGTGAGCAATAAAAAGACATCTTTCCGCCGTATCGTCCGCAAGAGTCTCGGAGTCTGAATGAAACTGATACCCCGCCACACTTTGTTACATTTCAACAGCAACAACAACAATGTATGCGATCAGGCAGTAGGGGATCCCCCAGTTAGGAGTAACAGATTTGTATCCGATTATAGTGGGGGATTCCGCTTGCTAAAGTCTCACCTCCCAGGAGAGCGAAGTGTCCTGTAGGGCTGCAGATTGCTGGTCTCTCTGGGCTGGGGAACTGAGCCAGACTGGCCACTCGCTTTCATCCACAAATACTCCTCACCCTCCGTGTGGGAGGTGTGCGGAAGCGCCGCTGCGCATGTATTCTGGCTTTATTATAATACAGACACACATATGTTAAGGCTGGGAACTGTAGTTCTGAACAGGGGCGGGGAGAGAGCGCTGCAAAATGAAACAGAAATTTTGGCAGCACGCTTGGGGAGAGAATTGATAGTTTACCAAACTGATTCCTCAGGTGCCTTATGATTGATTAAGTTAGGATCGTATTCACTGGGAGTTTAGAAAGGGGGGGGGGGTGCGGGAATTACACAGAAACCTATAAAATGATTGTAAACAGCCTGGATGCAGGGGCGGGATGGTGGCTCGGTGGCTCGGTGGTTAGCACTGCTGCTTCAGAGCGCCAGTTATCTGGGTTCGATTCCGCCCTCAGGCGCCTGTCTGTGCGGAGCTCGTATATTCTCTCCGCTTCCTCCACAGTCCAAAGATGTGTAGGTTAGGTGGATTGGCCATACTAAATTGCCTATAGTGTTCAGGGATGTGTGGATTACAGAGGAATGGGTCTGGGTGGGATGAGTTTGAGGTTCGGTGTGGACTCGTGTAGGGATTCTATGAAATTATTGCAGATGCTGCAATCTGTACTGAAAACAACAAAAAGAAAGCTGGAAATCACTGCTGGTGCAGGAAGGATGCTCCCAATCGTGGGGGGGAGTCCAGAACCAGGTGGTCGTGGTTTAAGGATAAGGGGTAAACCTTTTAGGACTAAGATGAGAAATTTCTTCAGCCAGAGAGAGAGGAGAGCCTGTGAAATTCTCTGCCATAGAAAGCAGTTGAGGCCAAAACATTTTCCAGAAGGGGGTAGATATTGCTCTTGTGGATAAAGGGATAAGGGATAAGGGATATGGGGTGGGGGCTGGGGGGTGGTGTGCGGCAGGGTGAGAGGGATGGGGGAGTATGTAGGAGAGTGGGATTGAGCTTAATGATCAACCAGGATCCGAATGAATGGTAAAGCAGGCTCAAAAGGGTGAATGGCCTATTCCTGCTCCTACCTTCTATGTTTCTATGAGTCCAGTGACCCTTAAAAAGATGACTTGCATTTGAGTAACCCCTTTCAGCACCACCTTAAGCCTATGAAATGCTTTTTGAATAAATTGGTAAGAAGATTAAGGGTTATGAGGAGCAAGCAAGAGGATGGGGGTGAGAAATGTATCAGCTATAATAGAATGGCTGAATGGCCTAATTCTGCTCCTATATCTTATGGCCTTGATGTGGACACTCCACCGAATGCAACAATGAGCATGGATTCCGAAGAGGGGTCATTCACCATTGGAAACATTAACTCTGGTTCTCTCTCCACAGGTGCTGCCAGACCGGCTAAGTTTTTCCAGCTCTCCCTGTGTTTATAACATAACTGGAACCTTCCACTGAACCCCATACTCCAGTCTCGAGTCTCCCTGTCCTTGCAAACATCACTTTCACCAACCCCCCCCCCAACTTGTCAGTGGTGCTATTTTCCCTGGAGCATTTGAGGCTGAATGCCATCCTTATAGAGGCTTGGAAAATCATGAGGGGCATGGATAGCGTAAATAGACAAGGTCTTTTTCCCAGGGTGGAGGAGTCCAAAGCTAGTGCACATAGGTTTAATGTGAGAGGGGAAAGATTTAAAAGGAATCTGAGGGGGAACTTTTTCACATAGAGGATGGTGCCAATTAAAAGGCATCTGGATGGGTACCTGAATAGGAAGAGTTTAGAGGGATTTGAGCCAAATGCTGGCAAATGGGACTAGGTTTATTTAGGAGATCTGGTTGGCATGGACATGTTGGACCAAAAGATCTGCTGTATATCTCCCTGACTCTATAACTCTGTAACTGATCACAACTCACAAACTGCTTGGAATTGCCCACACTGCCCCTCACATACCCACTCCATAGTAACCTGCTGGACCATACTGCCCACATCAATTCCCCAATGTGGAGTAAGCTTCCCAAGCAAGATCCAGCAGCAAAGCCTCCTTTGTATCACAGAATGGCAAAGACAAAAATGCACAAAAATGTTTCTACTGACAAGGACCATCTATTGAAAGGCAGACTCTGAACGACCACAGCGTGAGTGGCCCTTGCTGACCATCTCCATTGAAACAATGAAAACTGGAACAGGAGGAGGCCATTCGGCCCTTTGAGCCTGCTCCACCATTCAATATGATATTGGCCGACCATCCAACTCAGTCCCCTGTTCCCGCTTTGTCCCCTTTCATCCCTTTTGCCCTAAGAACTGCATCCAACTCCTTCGTGAAAACATTCAATATTTTGGCCCCAACTGCACCCTGTGACAGAGAATTCCAGGGGCTCACCACGCTCTGAGTGAAGAAATTTCTTGTCATCGCAATCCTACCCTGTATCCAACGGACTGTGACAGGACAAGTCAAGCCCCTGTTCTACTGCATGTAGCACTGGGGCCTCAGCACAAACCTTTCCTCTGTTGTGTAGAGACACAAACGATGCTTCACATTATCGAGGTATGTTGACCTCTGCGGACTGAGGGTTGGAAATAATCACCTTAAACCGAACAAACGAGGAGGCTCTGGGAATTTAATTCACTATGTAAATGAAATACTGCTATAATGTTGGAAATAGATAACTAGTTTACACATAGCAAGCTCCCACAAACAACATTGGAATAATGACCAACAATGAGTGTGATATGGTGGCTCAGTGGTTAGCACAGCTGCCTCACAGAAGCAGAGACCTGGGTTCAAGTCCAGCTTTGGGTTTGACTCCAGCCTTTGGTAACTAACTCTGTTGAATTTGCACATTCTCCCTGTGTGGGTGTGAGTTTCCTCCCACAGTGTACAGGTTACATGGATTGGCCATGCTAAATTGCCCTATAGTGACAAGGGATGTGCCGGCTAGGTGGATTAGCTACAGTAAATGTGGGGACAGAGTGGAGGTGCTGGGTATGAGTGAGATGCCCTTCAGAGGGTTGGTGAAGACTCGATGGACCAAATGGCCTCTTTCCACATGATAGGGCTCAATAAGATTTTGTAATGTTCAGTGGGGGACAAATATTTACCAGGAAGCTGGAGATCTCCTTAACTATTCATTAAATTCATACCATGAGAGCTTACTACTTCAATGTATGAAGTCTAGCAAGAACAGCTCATTCAAAAATAACAGTTCCAATAGGGAAACACTTCCTCTGTATCACAATCACCCTTGATTTTACACTCAAGTCCTTGTCTGTGACCTGAACTTTGTGCCTTAGATACCAGACTGCTAAAAGCTGCTCCACAGCTGAATTCTTAAAGTTTCTGGGTATTTCAACTTGTCCCTCTGCCTCTCCTCCTCCTCAAAAAGAGGCAACAACTACCACTGACCAGCAACTGATCTAGACCAGCCATATAAATTCTGTGACTACAAGAGCAGATCAGAGGCTAGGAAACCCAAAAGCACGGCAGATGCTGTAAATCAGGTACAAAAACAAAGTTGCTGGAAGAGCTGAGCAGGTCCGGCAGCATCTGTGAAGGAAGAAACAGAGTTAACATTTAGAGTCAGAACAGTTCTGAGGAAGGGTCACTGGGCTCGAAACATTAACTCTGTTTCTTCCTTCTCTGAGGCTAGGAATCCTGTAGTGAGTCACTCACCTCTTGACTCCCAGATCCTGTCTACCATCTACAAGGCAAAAGTCAGGAGTGTGATGGAATACTCCCCACTTCCCTGAATGAGTGCAGCTCCAACAAACACTCGAGATGCTTGACGCCATCCAGAACAAAACAATCTATTTAATTTGTACCTTACTGCCATCTTCAGGAGTCATTCCCTTCACCACCAGCACAAAATGGTAGCAGCGTACACCATATACAAGATGATCTGCAGCAAGGCTCCTTCAACAGCATCTTCCAAAACGTGTGACCTATACCATTTAGAAGGACAAGAGCAGCAGATACATGGGAACAATGCTTCCTTCAAATTTCCCTTCAAACCACATACCTTCCTGACTTGAATGTATATCGCCGTTCTTGCAGGATCACTGTGCTGAAGTACCTGGATCTCCCTTCCTAACAGCAACACCCCTACTCCCCAAGGGCTGTAGTGATTCAACAAGGTGGTTCACAGTCTCCAAATGGAAACAAATAGGGCAAATACAGATGGGCAATAAATGGTTGGCCAACCAGCAACTCAATCATCAGGTGAAGGGTCTAGGCCCGAAACATCAGCCTTCCTGCTCCTATGATGCTCTACACCTTGTTATCTCAGAAGCTGATCTCAGCTGGTTTAGAGTGCAATAATTAGACCAACAGGATGTTGGAAATCTGAAATTCAAAACTGAAAATGCTGTAAGGTCTCAGGTTGGCTTGCTGGTGGCTCTCTCTTTGACTCAGTGTCTGGTAATGCTGCTGTGGAGAGTTTTACTGTAATGAAGGTGGATTAAAATTCTAATATGAGGCACAATGAGTAGTGTCTGTGTACCTGAATCAGAAACTCTGGGTTTGATGGTCACTCCCATGAATCTATCACTTTCAGACTGGCAAGATGTAAGGTGTGCCAGAGGGGCCAGTGCTGGGTCATCAATGTTTTACAATTTATATAAATGACTGGATGAAGGGACTGAAGATACAGTTGCTAAATCTGATGAAGATACAGAGGTAGAGAGAAAAGCAAGGTATGAAGAAGACAGAAGGATAGGGATACAGATATGTACAGATATGGGGAGGCAATGGCCTAGTGGTATTATCACTGTACTGTAAATCCAGAGACCAAGATAACATTCTGGGTTCAAATCCCACCAGGCAATTAAAAAAAAAATCTGGAATTAAGAATCTAGTGATAACCTTGAATCCATAAAACCCCACCTGGGTCACTAACATCATTTAGGGAAGGAAACTGCCATCCTTACCTGGTCTGGCCTACACATGACTCTAGACCCACTAGCAAATGTGAATGACTCTCAACTGCCCTCTGGGCAATTAGGGGTGGGCAATAAATGCAGTCTCCATCCTGCAAATGAGTGAAAAAGACAAAGATAGATTATGTGAATGTGCAAAGGTCTGGCAAATGCAGCATA